AGTGAGCTCTATAATTACAGGGAATTCTGTCTAGTAGATTCTCCATAAGTATGTTGAATGAATGAGTAAGATGAATGATTACTCTCCATTTTGAGGGTAAGGAAACTGAGGCTCAGAGAGGTTAAATAACTTCCTCAACATCACACAGCTGTAGGTGGCTGAGCTGGGCTGTGAGCTCTTGACCACAGAGCTCCTTCCAGATCCCTTGCCCCTCTCCTCTTTCTTAGACACCAGGAATTCTTAGTTTGAGGCTACAGAGGAAAGACCAAATATTTACATTGAGTCAAGTTACCAAAGATTCAGTTAACTTAGTAATAATCATTGGATAATTTGATAACATTAAACTTGGTTAATGGAAGCTCAGTCTTTTTTTTTTTCTCTCAGTATTTTCTTTTTAACCGTTTTCTTATTTTGGGGGGAGGGTGAGAAGGGGACAGAGGATCAGAAGTGGGCTCAGTGCTGACAGCAACAAGCCCAATGTGGGACTCAAACTCACAAACTGTGAGCTCATGACCTGAGCCAAAGTCAGAGGTTCAGCTGACTGAGCCACCCAGGCGCCTAAACTCTCACTCTATTATTTGTGGCAGTCACAGTTTGAGAAGGAAGCTGATGCATGAGTTCATCTATGGTAGATTGGTCTTTAGGGCTTGGCTTGTCCAGAGTGTACTTTTGTTTTGTCTTGTTTTTAAATATGATTTATTGTCAAGTTGGCTAACCTATGGTGTGTGAAGTGTGCTCTTGGTTCTTGGGGTAGATTCCTGTGGTTCATCACTTACATACAACACCCAGTGTTTATCCCAAAAAGTGCCCTCCTCAGTGTCCATCACCCATTTCCTCCTCTCCCCCACCCACCCATCCACCCTCAGTTTGTTCTCTGTATTTAAGAGTCTCTTATGGTTTGCCTCCCTCCCTCTCTGTAAATATTTTTCCCCTCTTTCCCCATGGTTTTCTGTTAAGTTTCTCAAGATCCACATATGAGTTTAGACATATGGTATCTGTCTTTCTCTGACTGACTGATTTCACTCAGCCTAATACCTTCCAGTTCCATCCATGCTGCTGCAAATGGCTTGATTTTCTTCTTTCCTGTTGCCAAGTAGTATTCCATTGTACACACAAACTACATCTCCTCGATCCATTCGTCAATTGATGTTGTCCAGAGTGTTCAATACAGAGGCGACAGTTCTAAGGAGTAGTGAAGCAGGAGACGGCAAGACTCCTATCAGTCATACCACCCCTTGTGGTAGGTTTATTGCATCCATGGCCTCAAGAAGTGGCCTCTTTCTCTCCACGCCCCTTCTCTGTAACTTTGTAACCTCTTTCTGCTCTCATCCTGCCTTGGCCTAGACACTGGCTTTGGTCAAGAGAATGACTCAAAGGCAGAGCGTTTCAAAACTGAATGTCCACTCCTTCTTGCTCTTGACAAAATGAGTTTTACTTGTTCTTGCATCCCTGCCTCTGCCCTGAGAACATACCCAACTAACCTGCTGGAGGGGTGAGAGACATGGAGGAGAGTTACGTCGTCGTCGTCCTCAGTCAGCCACCTGGCCGACTTGTAGTCACGTGAGTGAGCCCAGCTAAGATCGACAGAGCTGCTCAGTCAACCCATACACTCAGGAGGAGCAAGCGAATATCATTGTTTCAAGGCATTGAGTTTCATGAGTGGTTTGCTATCAAGTGTTACTTGCGGTAATTACTAATGGATACAGTAACCAATGGATTATCAACATTTTGCATTTAATTGCAATGATTTGGGATATACAAAAAGAAGGACTGGGGTCTTCATTTCCTCTTAACTGTCAGGATCTATAAATTTGTAATGCTTAAAGTTCTTTCTTTTTAAAAAAAATATTTTTTATTAAAACTTTTTTAATGTTTTATTTATTTTTGAGAGAGAGATAAAGACAGCATGAGCAGAGGAGGGTCAGAGAGAGAGGGAGACACAGAATCCAAAGACAGTCTCCAAGCTCTGAACTGGCTGTAAGCACAGAGCCCGATGCAGGGCTTGAACCCACGAACCATGAGATCATGACCTGAGCTGAAGTTGGATACTTAATCGACTGAGCCACCCAGGCACCCCTAAAAAAAATGTTTTTAATGTTTATTCACTTTTGAGAGACAGACACAGACTGTGAGTGGGGGAGGGGCAGAGAGAGGGAGACACAGAATCTGAAGAAGGCTCCAGGCTCCCTGCTATCAGCACAGAGCCCGACGTGGGGCACGAACCTATAAACTGTGAGATCATGACCTGAGCTGAAGTCAGACACTTAACTGACTGAACCATCCAGTCGCCCCTTAAAGTTCTTTCTGATAGAAGACGTGCACAAAACTTTGTCTTTACGATAGTGTTACATGTTGGTCTAAAATACAGCCGCCTCAGGAACCCTATATTTCTAAAGTAAGTAAAAGCTACGGCTCTCACAGGAAGCATTTTTCTTTTCTTTTTTTTTAATGTTTTATTTATTTCTAGGAAAGAGAGAGAGAGAGACAGCGTGAGCAGGGGAGGGTCAGAGAGAGAGGGAGTCACAGACTGAAACAGGCTCCAGGCTCCGAGCTGGCAGTCAGCACAGAGCCTGACGCGGGGCCCGAACCCACGAACTGCGAGATCATGACCTAAGCGAAAGTCGGACGCTTGACTAAGCCACCCAGGCGCCCCACAGGAAGCATTTTTCTTATCATAAACGTCAAGCTAATTTTGGTACAGTCCTTTCTCCCCATAACCTCATGTGTCTCCACCAGAGGGAGAAAAGGGACCCAAAATAGAAAACTGTACGGTTCTCAAATCCCATAAATATAAAATCCCATTCATTCAAGAAATCTTCATTGATCATCTACAATATGCTCTCCCCACAACATTAAAGTAGTTGAAAAAAGATTAAAAAACTGAAAAAGTTAAGGATAATAGAACTGAAAGCAGTTTAAATATTTTAATTTGGACCAAACTGGAATTTATTAAAATTTTTCTTTCTTAGTTTTAAGAGAAGTAAACTCAATCAATAATATTTTTAAAATCAGGGGCGCCTGGGTGGCTCAGTCGGTTGAGTGTCCGACTTTGGCTCAGGTCACGATCTCACGGTTCATGGGTTCAAGCCCTGTGTGGGGCTCTTTGCTGACAGCTCAGAGCCTGGAGCCTGCTTCGGATTCTGTGTCTCCCTCTCTCTCTGCCCCTCCCCTGCTCATGCTCTCTCTCTCTCAGAAATAAATAAAACATAAAAATTATTAAAATAGTATTTTAAAAATCAAATTCTTAAAAAAAAGCTATTAAAAAGTACATTAAGGGGATGCGTAGGTACCTCAGTCGTTTGATCATCTGACTTCATCTCAGATCATGCTTTCACGGTTCGTGGGTTTAAGCCCCACATCAGGCTTTGCACTGACACTGCAGAGCCAGCTTCAGATTGTCTGTTTGTGCGTCTGTCTGTCTGTCTCTGTCTCCCTCTCCCCCATTCACGTTTTTCTCTCTCAAAATAAGGGACTCCTGGGTGGCTCAATCAGTTAAGCATCTGACTTCAGCTCAGGTCATGATCTCGTGGTTCGTGGGTTGTTTGTTTGTTTTTTAATTTTTTTATGCTTTATTTATTTCTGAGAGAAAGAGACAGCATGAGCAAGGAAGGGTCAGAGAGCGAGGCAGACACAAAATCTGAAACAGTCTCCAGGCTATGAGCTAGTTGTCAGCACAGAGCCTGATGTGGAGCTTGAATCCATGAACAGT